TCTGCCTTTATGCAAATGCACCCGCCTCCTGCTTCCTCCGCCTCCCCCCCCATCTCCCCCCCCCGTGTCCCCCCCCCCACCCCCTTATCCAATTTTCTCCTCTCTGGTTTCCTCTCTCTCCCTGTAGGAAGGCAATTTCGCCTTGGCAAGAAAACAGCAGAGCCAACGTGTGCACAGCTCTTCTGACTCCTTGGGGTCCACCGAGGAAGAAAGTTTACTCCTCACCCCAGCCGGCCCTAAGGGGAGCTACCCCAAAGACCTGAGCTCACTGAGGCACCAGGCTGACGGGATCTCCCTGCCCCACCCCTCGCCAGCACCCTCTCCCCGCTCTCCCTGCAACACTTGCCTCTGTCTCTCAACACAGCTAGAACTCTGAGGTCAGCAATATATTTAAAGTGCTTGTTAGCATCTTGTTCCCATCAGGAAGATTTAGTTTAAAACAAAACACTCACAAGGGAAATTCCACTTCACTTCTGGGAAATTAGCTGCTGCATCTTCCAGATCCAAATCCTTAGACTAACACAGCTGGGGCTACTAAAAATTCAAAAGCTCACAAATGGCCTAAAACACCCGCGCACACACACCTTGGGTACCAGGAGTATCTCTTTCCATCAGTACGTGAGGTTCTCATGTATAAAATGAATACCTTGGGGTTGGGCTTTGTTAATTTTTCATATGGTCTTAACCACTTGAATTCTCATGCTTTCTCAAAACTGCAAATTCTTGGAAAATACTCCTCGGTGGCCAAGGCCTCCACAAGCTTAAGCAGCTCAATGGTGCCCCCTGGTGGCTGTGAGAATAGACACAGGGAGCCTGAAGACGCTACCATCCTAAAGACAAAGCAAAATTAGAATCTCATCAAGATGAAACTCCCCACCCCGTATTCAAAAATTACAAAGTGCCATTTCAAATAAAAATAAAAAGTGAAAGCCATCAAAATATAGCAAGTATCAAAGGGTGGGAGACTACACAGCCTTTCAATTTAGGACGTCACCATGGGAAGGAATGCACAAATTGAATAATATTGATCTCAACAGCCCAAAATATGGGGAGTTCTTTTCAGTATAATGTCTGATGGGGTCGGCGTTGTGGTACAGTGGGTTAAACCACCGCCTGCAACACCAGCATCCATATGGCTGCTCCACTTCTGATCCAGCTCCCTGCTAATGCACCTGGAAAAGCAGCAGCAGATGGCCCACGTGCTTGGGCCCCTGCACCCACATATGGGAGACCTGGGAGAAGCTCTGGGCTCCCGGATTCAGCCTGGCCAGCCCCAGTCACTGCAGCCATTTGGAGAGTGAACCAGTGGATGGAAGATCTTTCTCTCTCTCTCTCTCTCTCTCTCCCCCGCCCTGTAACTCTCCCTTTAAAATAAATAAAAATAAATAAATAAATAAATCTCTGGGAAAAAGAGTCTCTGATGATTAACCAGGCATCTCCTAAACACTAAAATCACCTACTGGTCTTTGTTCAAAAACAATTTGCTAGTTGTGATACATGTATTAAGACCATTCTGACGTGTTGGACATTCGGTGTGGAACACACAGACAAGAATCTCTGCCTTCAAGAAGTTTCTACTTTGGTAGGGGGAAAGGAAAATAAATAAAATTTTCAGGAAGATTCTCTGAAGAAATCCAAGCACGGTGTGTGGATAGACAGCAATGGAGTGAGGGGTTGGGGAAGGTATTTTTAAAGGTGGTCAGGGGCCGGCGCCGCGGCTCACCAGGCTAATCCTCCGCCTAGCGGCGCCGGCACACCGGGTTCTAGTCCCGGTCGGGGCGCCGGATTCTGTCCCGGTTGCCCCTCTTCCAGGCCAGCCCTCTGCTGTGGCCAGGGAGTGCAGTGGAGGATGGCCCAGGTGCTTGGGCCCTGCACCCCATGGGAGACCAGGAAAAGCACCTGGCTCCTGGCTCCTGCCATCGGATCAGCGTGGTGCGCCGGCCGCAGCGCGCTGGCCGCGGCGGCCATTGGAGGGTGAACCAACGGCAAAGGAAGACCTTTCTCTCTGTCTCTCTCTCTCACTGTCCACTCTGCCTGTCAAAAAAAATAAAAAATAAATAAAATAAAATGAAAAATAAAAAATAAAGGTGGTCAGGGAGAGCCCACGGTGACGGAAGGCACCCTGTGGCTCCCAGGAAGAGCCAGCAGCACGCGCAGAGGCCCAGCTCCAGGAACAAGTTTGAGCCATTTAAGGAACAGCAAGAAGGCCAAGGGAAGCTGATGCTTAATGGGAAAGAGGTGAGGGCCGGGAGCTGAGGTCAGTGAGGCAGGCAGGGGCAGGGTTACATGTTCCATGGGCAAGAAGGACACTAGATTCCATTCTAATGTGAACAGAAGCCCACTGGACACGTGGGCATTTACACTCTCATGGCTACTTTCACTGCTGAGTAGGATCTTCTCAAAGTCAGGCGAAAGACTAAGATGGAGGTTGTGGAGGAGGCAACAATAGGCAAGACTGAAAGCACAGAAACTGGCTAGGAAGCCGCTGGGGGAGTCCAAGCAAGAGGCTGCTGGCCTGGGTTAGCTGGAGGTGCCCAAGGCAAAGGTGGGGAGAAGTGGTTGATTTCAGACAGCCAGTCCAAAGGTCTTGATGACACATTGGAAACTGAGGGGTGGGGGCAGGCATTTGGCATAGCTGTTAAGATGCTACTTGGGGGGCCAACGCTGTGGCACACTAAGTTAATCCTCCACCTACAGCGCCGGCATCCCATATGGGCACCGGGTTCTAGTCCTGGTTGCTTCTCTTCCAGTCCACCTCTCTGCTGTGACTCAGGTAGGCAGTGGAGGATGGCCCAAGTGCTTGGGCCCCTACACCTGCATGGGAGACCAGGAGGAGGCTCCAGGCTCCTGGCTCCTGGCTCCTGGCTTCGGATCAGCGCAGGTGGGGCCATTGCGGCCATTTGGGGAGTGAACCAATGGAAGGAAGACCTTTCTCTCTGTCTCTCTCTCACTGTCTATAACTGCCTGTCAAATAAATAAATAAAAACCTTAAAAAAAAAAAAAGATGCTACTTGGGAGTGTGAGTTCAAGTGCTGGCTCCACTCCCAGCTCCAGCTTCCTGCTAATGCAGATCACAGAGACAACAAATATTCACTCAATAGTTGGGTTCCTGCCACCCATGAGGGAGACCCAGATTGAATTTCTAGCTCCTGGCTTCAGCTTGGCCCAGCCCTGGCTGGTGCAGGCATTTGGGGCTGGCGCTGTGGCATAGCAGGTGAGCCAGCCGCCTGAGGTGCCGGCACCCCTTAAGGGCACAGTTCATGTCCCGGCTGCTCCACTTCCCATCCAGCTCTCTGCTGTGGCCTGGGAGAGCAGTGGAAGATGACTCAAGTCCTTAGGCCCCGGCACCCATGTGGGAGACCCAGAGGAGGCTCCTGGCTTCTGGTTTTGGATTGGCCCAGCTCCAGCCATTGCAGCCAATTGGGGAGCAAACCAGCAGATGGAAGACCTCTCTCTCTCTCTCTCTCTCCCTCTCCCTCTCCCTCTCCTTCTCTCTGTGTGTGACTCTGTCTTTCAGGTAAATAAATTAATTAAAAAAAAGAAAAAGAAAAAAGAAAGTAAACCAGCAGATGGGAGAATCTCTCTCTCCCCTTCTCTCTCTTAAATATTTTCTTTAAAAATGAAGTTTAAAGGTGGGATAGAATCAAGTAAGACTCCGTTTTGGTGAGTAGCTGGGTACATGAGAATGCCAATAACTGAGATGGAGAAGTCTGGCTGGAAAATAGATTTGGAGGTGAGAAAAGAGGTGAGAAATCAAAAGCTCCATTGACTTTCAAAGAGATGTTCCATAGGACAGAAGATAAGTGGACGTACACGGCTGGAGCCCAGAAAAGAGGCTGGTGTTAGAAGCATATATTTGGAAGTCTTCGGCATGTAGGTAGCATTTGTAGCCACAAGACTGGTAGAGACCAACTAGGCAGAAAAGGAAGAGAGGGAGGCTGGAGAGGGGTCGGCAACGGCAGAGGGAGCGAACTGTGGCCAAGGAGAGGGAGCAGGCAGTGAGGCGGGCAGAACCAAAAGCAGGGGCGAGGAGCTTCCGACGGCGGGAGTGTCAGATGCCGCGAGAGCACCAGGCAAGAGTGGCACCGGCCACCGGAGTTGGCAAGACGGAAGTCGAACGGAGACCCTCGCAGTAAAGCGAGAAGACAAACACCCCCGGAGGGGGAGCAGGAGGCAAGGCCGTGGGGGCTGCAGGACAGGCCCCTCTGTGGAGGGGCTTTAGTGAGAAAGAGGCCGAGCGAAGACAAAGCAGCCAGAGCACTCAAAAGAGTGATGCCGGTCTTTTCTTTCCTCTCAGTGCAATGGGAAATATTACAACAAGCTTGACAGGGCTGGGATAATTCTATACTGGGAGACATGAAGAATGAACCAGAGGGAGGGAATCCAACGGACAAGCTGGAGACAGGCTGGTAACGGCACACACACAGCAGGGAGAGGAGGGAAGGCAAAACACACAGTATAGGGCAGGGTGGGGGCTGCAGGTGGGACCTCCTGGCCCGATCACTTCTGCCATCTCAATGAGACAGAAAAAAAAAAATCAAGAAGCTCCCAGTATTTCCTCGGAGTGTGGGACAGGGTAAAGTGAAGGCACAGATTTGGAAAGAGGAGAAAATGAAGGGACAGTGAATTGACTGAGGGACCACAGTGGGGCTGCCGACGTGTTTCCCCCAGAGAGTAACCTACCCTTAAGGCATTTGCAGTAGCATGCCAATTAAACAGGAGACAACAGACAGCGTGGATGTCCCAAACGTTCAGAAGGAACGTAACCAACACTCACGCACGCCGCACCCAGACATAATCAACGTCAGCATCTTTCTAAGCAATAAACGCCGCAGTCACAGCTGCTAGCCCCTCGGTGCCGGCCTCCAGTTCCGGGGCCTTCCTCCGGTCTGGAAGTTCTTTATCTAAGGACAGAAAGCTACAGTGTCCCTCTTTTATCCAGGCCTATCCGCAGCTCCGAGGTGGCTTCGCTGATCGCAAAGCCGCTATTCAAGATGTACCTGTTATCTGGGTTGTCAGGGAGACGAGCACGGGAAGTTCAGCAGACAAAGCCCGGAGGCGGACACTGTAGTTGGTACCCGGACGCAGGTCCAAGCACATGGCTGGCGCCTGGCTGCTGCTCGTGGTGTTGAAGACCATTTCCTGGGAGAATTCCTTCTGATACCATCTCTGGCCCCAAATGTGGAACTGAAACATTAAAAAAAAAAAAAGAAAAAAAAGGCAGCTTTCTGGTGACTCGCTGGCCGGAAGGCGCTGAACGCCCCATGTCTACCCTTTCGCACGAGCTTTCTCCCTCTCCTCCTCTTGGCTCTGCAAAGTTTCTTCAAAAAGTGAAAATGCAACAGCAAGCAAAGAGAGCTGTGGTGCCCTGGTGACTGCAATGACAATATTTGCAGCCTAATAAATAACAGTCCACCCAAGACCAAAGCCCCACTACTGGCAATTGTCTCTTTCGTGTCTGTAACGTACTCAGCGCACACGACCAACACAAAAGTCTGCTGGAGGGGCCGGCGCTGTGGCTCACTTGGCTAATCCTCCACCTGCAGCGCCGGCATCCCATATGGGCACCAGATTCTGTCCCAGTTGCTCCTCTTCCAGGCCAGCTCTCTGCTGTGGCCCGGGAGGGCAGTGGAGGATGGCTCAAGTGCTTGGGCCCTGCCCCAGCATGGGAGACCAGGAGGAAGCACCTGGCTCCTGGCTTCAGATCGGCACAGCTCTGGCTGTAGCGGCCATTTGGGGGATGAACCAACGGAAGGAAGACCTTTCTCTCTGTGTGTCTCTCTCTCACTGTCTAACTCTGTCAAATAAAAAAAAAATTAAAAAAAAAACAAAAAAAACCTGCTGGAAACACTGCAGGAGCAAGGCCAAAGAACATTTTCCTAGAAAGAAAATCAAGAATTCCAAGTAATTCCTCACTGAGCTGGTACTCGCTGGGGAGGGGTTTCTCCTCTGCCCACACCCTTTCTGTTACCCCACACTCTTGCATACCAGCCGAGCGCCTGGGCCAGGAGCCTGCCTTTCCTTCCCATACGTAATCTCTTCTACTGACAGCTCATGCCCATGCTCGCCCCTGTCTCACAACCACATCTAGCTTCAGGCGTTGCCCTCCAGCCTCCAGACAGCACAGGTGGACCCTGGGTAACGCTGGTGTGAACAGAGGCACGCGCGCACACACACACGTACACACACGTACACACACACACACACACACACACCCATGCCTCCCACAGACGCTGCCAGAGCGCTAACGCACCAGGACACAAACGGGCAGCAAAGACCCTCTCGTGGCTTTCTCATCTCCCCCCAAGGGTTCTGTCTTCACACATGCGCACTAGTGGTGGCCATTTTCTCCCTTATTATTGCAAATGTCACAGGAATTCTTGTAGAGACAGAGTTTTGGGGTGTGCCGGTATTTTTTAAACCTCCCACACAAGACAAACGCCTTTAAATAAAATACCTTTCAGTCACTTACTAGGTACATCTCTTCTGTATCAGCTGTCTTCTGACTTCTCCATCTCAAGCAGGTGTCATTAAACACTGAAACATTACTGATGGTTTGTTTCACTGCAGGGAGAAAGGATGAAAAATCAATTCACACCCTAGACAAAAGCACGGTCTTTTAATTGAACCAGTTTCCAAGGGTAAGCATCTGCATAAATTCGGCAGTATTTTGACTGAGAAATTAGTGATGGCTCTCCAAGAATCACCTCTTTTATCTGTAGATAAACCCAGTCCTGATAAAAGATTTAAGATCCAAAGATACTCCATCATCGGATCTCCCTTTCAAAATAAGGTCTGCTCACTGCACACTCCCCTGGTTTCCTAAGCTGACAATGGCAGCTCTTTGGTGCTGGGTTTTGGACACCCTGGGTTATACAAACAAGCACGGGTCTGAAAAGTAGACCCGAAAGCAGGATTTCAGCAGAGAATTGCTCCTGGAGGAGAGGAAGGAAGGAAGCTACACCACGCGGACGGGATTTCCACCATGCAATGGGGCAAGGAAGGTTCCTTTAGTTTGACCGTCCTGATCTCTTAACAATCAGAGCTGCGTTTCCTGGCCTCTGTTCAGCTGCTTGGTAATCAATCAGAAACTCAGTTCCTCTCTGATACGGTTTGAGGTACAGGTACACTAACTCAAACGTTTTAAAACAAAGACTCTATTCAAAGCTCTGATATCACAGGTCACTTCCTTCAGGAAGGACCCCGTCCCTAAACTGGAAGTCGTACATTACACTGGCGAAGAAGTGTCAGAGGGACACGGTGCCGATTAATGATTAATAAAGACAACTCCCAATGCACCTGAAAAAGAAGAAAGTCCCACGGGAGGCAAAGCTGGATGGTGTAAGCCCCTGGCCTGATGGGTTTCTACAGATGAAGTCACGTTGGTGGACGTGACCTCTCTCTGTGGCCTGGAAAGCTCTGCCCAGAGAAAACTTGTTCCACAGGTCACAAGCCAGCCATGCTTCAAATGTTGCAAGACACAGCAGGGAAGGGAAGATATGTGATTCAGGCTAATGCAATCCCATGCTGGGTGTAGAAGATGACTCCTGAAGCTTTCAGAATACAGATAACTCCAATACCACCTACACCATTCCATATCTTACAGAAAGGTTTTAAATGTATTCAGTATGACTAGTCCACAGTTTCCAAGCTGAACCAGGATAGCACAACCAATCACTAAATATGCTATGCCAAACTCACTTGTTAATATAAATTAAAAATTCCAAAATGAAATACCAGCAAGTAAAAGTCAGTGGTACATTCCAACAACAGTATAGTAGGCCAAGGAAGAACTTTGTCCAGACTACAGAGAGAATCATTGTCAAAAAGGCTATTAATAGGCCAAAAGAGAGAAAACCTAAGGTTACTTTAATCATTGTAGTGGCTGATACACTTGATATACATTCCTGAATTAAAATCTTAGTGAACTAGGACTTAATTAATAGAAACCCCTTAATTTTTTAAAGATGTTTATTTATTTATTTATTTGAAAGGCAGAGTTACAGAGAGAGAAGGAAGGAGGGAAGGAGAGATGGAGGGAGGGAAGGAAAGAGGGAGGGAGAGAGGGAGGGAGGGAGAGAGATTGAGATTGATTTCCATCCACTGGTTCACTCCTCAAATGGCCACAACAGCCAGGGCTACGCCAGGAGATGGGAGCTTCATCCAGGCCTCCCATGTGGGTGCAGGGGCCCAAGTACTTAGGCCATCTTCCACTGCCTTCCCAGGTCATTAGCAGAGAACTGGATTGGAAGTGGAGAAGCCGGAACCTGAACAGGCACCCATAGCAGACACTGGTGTCACAGGTGGCAGCTTAACCTGCGATACCACAAAGCCAGCCCCAAGACTCCTTAATTTAATAGTGTTTATTTGAAACCATTATTAGACTCAACGGTAAAACAATGAAGCAATTTCTAGTAAGTTAACAACACAAGAATGCATGGCCTCATAGCTATTATTTAGCCTTAGTCAAGAGATTCTAGACAACGCAGAGAAAAGGCACAAAAGAAATGAGCTACAAATACTACAAAGAAAGGGATAAGTGGTATTACTGTCAGTAGAACTAAGAGAATCAACTGCAAGTCAAATATGGAATGTTTGAAAACAATGGACACATAAATACAAAATAACAGGAATCCGGCACGGTGCACTCAAATACAAGAACATTCAAGAAGTAATCGTGCTCCACACATCTGCGAGAGCACGTGTGGTCGGCTGAATCACGACGCCCCTAAGATACCTACATCCTAGTGCCTGGGACCCGTGCAGAGGCTATCTTACAAGGCAGAAGCACTTAGCAGAGGTGATTAAGGTAGGCAGATTATACAGATGGGCTCAATGCATATTACAGAGATCCTTACACCAGGGAGACAAGGGATCAGGGTTAGAGAAAGGAGATGTAAGGATTAAAGCAGAGATTAGGGGCACCCACTGTGGTGCAGAGGGTTAATGCCCTGGTCTGCAGTGCCAGCATCTCATATGGGTACCAGTTCAAGACCCGGCTGCTCCACTTCCAATCTAGCTCTCTGCTATGGCCTGGGAAAGCAGTAGAAGATGGCCCAAGTGGTTGGGCTGCTGCACCTGCATGGAAAACCCAGAAGAAGCTCCTGGCTCCTGGCTTCGGATCAGCACAGCTCTAGCTGTTGCATCCAATTGGGGAGTGAACTAGCGGATGCAAGACCTCTCTCTTTCTCTCTCTCGCTCTCGCTCTGCCTCTCCTCTCTCTGTGTGACTCTGACTTTCAAATAAATAAATAAATCTTAAAAGGGGGGAGGGGCCTGGAAGCCCATTTTATAAAAAAAAAAAAAGAGAGAGAGAGAGATAAACCGGTGAGCTTTAAGGATGGAGGGTGGGGCCATGGGATGGAATTTAGGCAGCTATAGAAAGCTATAGAAAGGGCCAGGAAACAGTCTCCCCCAATCTCCCCAGAAAAAAACACAAGCCTGCTGACAGCTTGTTTGGTTTTAGTGAATGAAGCTGATGTCAGCCTTTTTAAAAAATATTTATTTATGTATTTGAGAGGCAAAGAGAGAAACAGTTCCCATTTCTTGGTTCACTTACCAGTTGCCAGGAACAGCCTAAGGCCAAAGTCGGAGACCAGGATCTCAGGCTAGGTCTCCCATGTGGGTGGCAGAGACCAACAACTTGGGTCATCACAACTGCCTCCCAGGGTCTACATTAGCAGCAAGCTGGAGCCAGGAGACAGAGATGGGTATGGGACAGGGACAGCTCAACCACTGGGCCAGCATTCACCTCTGATTTCAGACTTCTGAGCTCCAGAACTATCAGACAGTAAATTCCTGTTTTTTAAGCTACTAAATATACAGTCATGGGTCCTTCCAACAACAGGGAACTAAGACAACAGCAACAATGCACAATCAAAAAGCTACAGGACCCCTATTCATGAGAGGAGATGCCACACACTTCAAATAACTACACATAAGAAAATCAGAGACACTGAAAACTTAAACGCAGCTTTTCTTCAAGTTTCTAGAAGACATAGAACAATAAAGAGAACTGCCATGTCCCTGAGTGGAAAGACTCGAAGGTAGAACAGTGTCAGTTCTCTAAGTGCAATATACTTTAGTTTTCTGGAACCTGGTAAGTTCACACAACGAACTTACTTAATAAATATTTACAACATTCTTACCATGTGCCAGGCTAAGTTTGAGAAAGTGGTAAGAAAAGAAAGTTCCTGGAGCCAGCGCTATGGTGTAGTAGGTTAAGCCTCCACCTGCAGTACAGTGCCTATATGTACACTGGTTTGAGTCCCGGCTGTTCCATTTCTGATCCAACATCCCTGCTGATAGCCTGGGAAAACAACAGAAAATGGCCCAAGTCCTAGGGCCCGTGCACCTGCATGGGAGAGCCGGAAGAAGCTCCTGGCTCCTGATCAGCTCAGCTTCGGTTGTTGTGGACATCTGGGGAGTGAGCCAGCACACGGAAGAGACCTCTCTCTCTGTCTCTCCCTCTCTCTCTCTGTAACTCTGCCTCTCAAATAAATAAATCTTAGAAGAAGAAAAAGAAAGAAAGAAAGAAAAAGAAAGTTCATGCCTTGATGGAATTTTTTTAGTGTAGGAGGAAGAAAATAAACAAGGTCAACAAATTACATTTATGTGTATATGTATGATACAACACATACATGCACACACCACACATGTAGCTGTGTATGCTGGTAAAGCATTGTTGAAAGACGGCGGATGGTCAGGGAAGCCCTCTGTGGAGGTGATGTGTGAACAGACACACAAGGGAGTGAGGCACCAACGCCTGGAGGAAGGGTGGTCAGACAGAGGAAACAAAGGGGCGAGGTTCCTACAGAATGCACCGGCTGCTGCGAGGGGGCAGTGGGCTGGGGGTAGGCACAGAGGTTAAGACATTACTTAGGACACAGAATCTCGTATCAGAGTGGGTTCGAGTCTTGGCTCCACTTCCTAGTCCAGCTTCCTGGTAATGCACACCCTGGGAAGGCAGCCGGTGAAGGCTTAAGGACACGGGTCTCTGCCACCCATGCAACATACCCAGGTTGAGTTCCAGGCTCCTGGTTTTGGCCTGGCCCAGTCCTGGCTGTTGTGCACATTAGGGGAGTGAACCAGCAGATGGAAGCCATCTCAACATCTCTCTGCCTTTCAGATAAATAAAAAGAAACTAGTTAAATTTAATTTTTAAAACCAGCTTGATACACTCAATGATCAAAAAGGAATAACTGCTAAATTTCTTCGGGAAGATTAATGAGAATAGCAAGGGAAAAAAAGAAAGGAAACTACTGGAAGGGGTTACAACCAGATGATCAGTGCATGCTGTCAAACCACAGCCTTGCCTCAATCTTTTCATTCACATCCCCCGAAAGAGTGTTTATAAGAAGACATCCTTCATTCCCAACTGCTCACCTGATTCCCCCGAAAATTTTAATACCACAGATACACCATGTGTCTATTGCATGCTACATCTTTATGTTTCAGATGCAAAAAAGAATATTTTTGTCCCTCAAGAACCAATTTTTGCCTTCTTCTGGATGATTCTGTCCCCCTGTGTTGACAACACCCCCCACTCTGAATGCTAGAGTAATT